GGTTAAGATACTGGATCTCACATGGTAGACTGCGATTTGAGGCCCAGATCTAGTGCCTTGAGAATCACGCCAGGCCCCTGTGTGTATGTGCCCAAAATCCCAAGAAAAGAGTGAAAAAGAGAAGGGACTCTGGTGTGGCCATCCACCCTGAGGGGTGATTTCTCTTCTTTCTCTTTCTGTTTCTTTCTCTGGCAAATGCCTGCACCCTATAGCAAAAACTGAGGGGGGGCGGGGAATGAAGGAAGGGATAAGTGAATAACTAAAAGGTAAGGGGTCTGCTGACTGAGTTTTCTTCCCCCTTCCCATTTTAGTCTGGCTTGTTTGAAACGAGTGGGGGCAACTGAGATCTGAGGTTGGCCACACAGTGGACAGACCTCAAAACCGGTATGTCGACGTGAAGCTAAACTATTTCATCTCCAGTCCTCCTTGGGAACAGTCTCAGCACTGTCATGATTCTGTTCCCACCCTCACCCCCTCCTCTACTAACCCACTTTCTGCACATCTTTCTGGCTCCGCTTATCTCCTCCGAAGTCTTCCCAGAGGAGATCCATAAATCTTCTCCAGATCCACAGCACTAACAACTATTTATGGGTCCCTCCTTTGTGCTAAGGACACTGGGGGTACAAAGATGAATAAAGACATGGTTTATGGCACTGAGAAAGGAAAAGAGCCTCTGCTCGTCCTTTGCTTAACCCTGTCTTGATCTGTAACATCCTTTTCTTGTCTTAAAAGTAACTCTTCATGCATTAGGACCTTGTTTTGATTATTAGCTTTTAGGCATATTATTTAGTAGCATGTGGTTAAGAGGCCAGACATCAGTCAGTTGGGTCTTGGGTTCCAGTCCCACTTTGGGGACTTATTAATCGTGCGTCTTTCAGAAAGTTTCTTAAGCTTTCCGAGCCTCACTTTATGTGTATTGTACATTAGGGCCTCTGGGACGATTAAATGAGATCATTTCTGTGACTGGTCAGAGCAGCTCCTGGTGTGTGGTAGGAGCTCGGTAGGTAGTAGTGATGTAGTCGTTCCTTATTGAGTTTGAGGTTAAATGAGGCGACCTTGCTCGGTGTTTGGCACAGGGGCTGGCATTTCACAATTATGATCCTGCACGTGTCATTGTTCTTGTTACAGGATTGTTGAGGACCATCTGAAGTAATTCTGTAAGGTGCCTGACCTTGCCTGACTTGCAGTACATTTTCAAAACATGTTGTGTTTTGCCATCTTTATCTTAGGGACTAGACTGATAGCTCCTGATTTTGGTGTCCTGAGCCTTTGAGAGAAAGAAGTGAGTCTGGTAATATTTTCCATCTTCTGAAGCATTGTGCCTTATCAAGTATAAATACTTTGTGATTGAAGGATTGTTTTTAAAAAACCGTAATTCCAGTTTTCTAGAGAGAGTGCTGTATGAAGACGTGTTTCTGAGGCATGCAAATACCTTATCAGCTAGCTTTGCACACACACACACACACACACACACACACACACACACACACACCCTTGTTTTTATTTTTGCTAGAGGGTTCATGCTCTCACCAGAGAGAAAGAAAGTGAGAAAGTACTCCCATGGGGGATGGTCAGAGTACTCCCATGGGGAGGATAATGCAATCCCTTCTCCATTTCTTCTCTTTGGATTTTGGGCATGCACGCACATGAATACAGTATATTTTGCAAGCTGCTAGGTCCAGGATTCCAACCAGGCCGTCAGCCATGTGGGATCTAGCCACCACAACCACTAGGCCATTGGCTGGCCTATACACACACTTCAAATGCTTTCTTTGATACGTCTGTTTAGAAAACCCAGTGTGGCCCCTGTCAGATCCAGGAGGAAGTGCTAGAATTGCTAGTGGCTGTGGTGGTAGTAGTCACTGCAGCCTTAGAGCAAGTACCCTGGCCTATAGCCAGGCACTTATCTGCGTGTCTGTGGGTTCTGATTCCAGTCCTGATCAGTGCAGCCAGAGGCAATAAAGGCTGATAGACTGATAGGAAGCTGGAGGCCTCCCTAAGGCCCTCCAGCCTTCTGGCTCCTTGACAGTTCTTCCCCTGGGAGCCCGCAGCACAGTCATCCCTTGTAAATCCATCCTGGTGGCCCTGCCCCTCTTGAGAAATGAATGAAAGGGCTGCTGGGTGTGGCAATGTGGTGCTGGTTCAAAAGAATGGATTAAATAGTTAGCAGAACATTTTTTTAGCTCCTTAGCGAATATAATGGAAAGGATGGATAATAATTTTGTTTTTGCCTCTTTCCCCTCAGGTCCCACATTCCTCTTCAACTTCCCTCCACCTTCTGTGGATGATATCAGTTCATGGGGTGCTTACTGAGCATCTTCTGTCTAGTGTCTGCGTCAACATGGGAATCAGAATTGCGCAGGAAGCAGGGATTTGGGAAGCTGCCCAGGGCCAGTGCTCCCTCATGGGCATCCCTCTGCTGCAGTGCTAGATCTCATTTCCTAAAGAAATACCCCTTGGGTTGATGGGATTCAGAGATCTTCCTCTCCCACTCCCTTGCTTTTCTGTATGTCCAGCCACTTTGCTCATTGTGCTCTTTCTCCTCCCCACTCCTCCCTGACCTTCCTTCCACTCCCCTCTCGCTCTAGTCTCTTATTCTCCTTTGTAGTCAGGCTTCAGGAGCAAGCAGTCTCTTTGGTCTCCATTGTCCCCCTCTGCTTCTGTGTACACCAGCTTCTGCCACCTCTTTTCCTCCAACATATACTCAGCAACATTTACCAGTGGCCATCTGATAGCCTCATCTGATAGCCTCTCAGGTATTTACTGAGGTCCCACCGTGTACTAAGCAGTATTCGAGGCTCTTGGGATCCATCGGAAAACAAAGACCCTGCCCTCGTGCTGCTCACTTTCCACCCTAGCTTGAATGATCCTCTCTGGGGCATCTACTGAGGCCTTGCTGACTCCCTGCAACATTCTCCTCTCTGGGTTGCTGGGACTCCCTTCTGGTTCCTCTAGTCTCTCTGACTGTGCCTTCTCAATATCCTCTTCCCCCTCCCATCTCCGGCCCTCCATACTACTATGAATAATTTTCATCATACCTAGCACGTTTTATTTACATTATATTTGTGCATCTGTTTGTCGAATAAGACCTGAACACCTCTCTTGACCATTCTCTCATCTTAATTTATTGCGTGCTATGGTTTGAATATGTTCCCCAGAAATTCTTGTGTTGTGACTTCGTTGTATAGTCTGCAATGTAAAGGTATTAAATGAAAACCTAATTCCTTCATTGTGTTCAGGGTAAGGCCTAGCTGACAGTAAATGGCTCATAGTGATTGCATCATGGATACAGTCTCATGAATAGATTAATGATATTATGTGAGATCTAGCTCTTGAGAGAAGTGGTTAGTTCTCAGGAGAGTTGGTTGTCCTAAGAGAGATCAGTCAGAACTTCTCTCCCTCTCCCCAACCCTCCCTTCACGTGTCTGCCATCCTCTATATTTCTTCTGGACTTGCTGTAGGCATAGGACTTTGGACTTTCCAGCCACCAGAATTGTGAGTTTGTAAGCTTATGAAATCCTTATAAAATCACTCAGGCTCAGGTATTTCTGTTAGCAACACAGTAATGGACTGAGACATCATGACATGGAGTCTTCTGGAAATCGCCCACCATGTCCTACATCTGTTGTCACTACCTTAATCCAGCCCTGTGTTATTCCTCCTCCTTTTTTTTTTCTCTTTCTAACCAACTGAGTTTTATTTGTTGTATAAACCACCTAACATCTTTCAGGTGAAAAAATACTAAATTTGAATAAAGATAGTAGAAAATGAATTAGAGCCCAATAAAAATTAGCTTTGAGGAGGGAACATTTTTACAGAACACAGACTAGTTTATTTTTAACACCCATCATGCCATGAATTCATAAGGAATAGGTCCGAGAAGCTCAGGCTCCTTTCCATTGGTTCTCATGAAGTGTGCTTCTCTGGGTGGCACAGGCTGGAGCTTTAGTTGGACCCAGGTACCTTTCTCTTTGGCTTCTTTTTATTTCTGGTCATTTTCCTTCACATGTTTTAGGAAGCTATCTCTGCTCTTAGAATGCTTAATATGCTCAATATACACATTAATTCTCTTGGCAAGAATTTTGCCCTTAACTTGTTTGTTCACAGCAATGCCAACAGCATGCTGGGTAACACTGTAGACTTCCAGTTTTGCCATGGTAACGTCTGTGGGGCATTCCTTTTTGAACAGTACCCATTCCCTTAATGTCTACGATATCACCTTTCTTGTGGATTCACATATTTGTTGCCAAAGAAACAACTCCATGTTTTCTAAAAGGCCTAGAGAACACATTTCGGGTGCCTCTTCTCTTT